CTCTGATCATAACACTTTGCAGCTGGATATCAACTGTAAAAAAGAAAGCAGGAAGAACCACAAATATATGGAGATTGAACAACATGCTACTGAAGAAAGACTGGGTCAGAGAAGAAATAAAAAGAAAGATCAAGAGATACATAGGAACAAATGATGATGATAGTACAACATATCAAAAGTTTTGGGACATGGCAAAAGCGGTCATAAGAGGAAAGTTCATACCATTACAGGCCTATCTCCAAAAAACAAGAATAAGCCCAAATAAACAACCTAATGCTTTATCTTAAAAAACTGGAAAAGGAAGAACAAATGAAGCCTAAAGTCAGCAGAAGGAAAGAAAGAATCAAAATTAGAGCAGAAATAAATGAAATTGAAAACAAAAAACAATAGAAAAAATAAATGCAACGAAGAGCTGGTTCTTTGGAGGGTTAATAAAATTGACAAACCCCTGGCTAGACTCAACAAAGAAAAAAGAGAAAGGACACAAATAAACAAAATCAGGAATGAAAGAGGAGAAATTATAACAGACACTGCAGAAATACAAAGGATCATACAAGAATATTATAAAAATGTATATAACACCAAATTTAATAACGTAGAAGAAATGGACAAGTACTTAGAAAGATACAACCTTCCTAGACTGAATCAAGAAGAACCGGAAAATCTAAATAGACTGATCAGCAGTATGGAAAATGAAACAGCCATCAAAAACCTACCGAAATGTAAAAGTCCAGGACCAGATGGCTTTACCAGTGAATTCTACCAAACATTCATAGAAAATTTAATAAGTATTCTCTTCAAACTCTTCCAAAAACTTGAAGAGGAGGCAATACTTCCCAAATCATTTTATGAGGCTAATATTACCCTGATACTAAAATCAGGTAAAGATAATACAAAAACAGAAAACTACAGACCAATATCGCTCATGAACACAGATGCAAAAATCCTAAATAAGATACTAGTGAACCGCATACAGCAACATATTAAAAAGATTATACACCACGATCAAGTGGGCTTCATCCCAGAGGCAAAGGGATGGTTCAACATATGCAAATCGATTAATGTGATACACCATGTAAACAAATTTAAAAATAAGAATCATATGATCATATCAATAGATGCAGAAAAAGACAAGATACAGTATCCATTTATAATCAAAACACCTAACAAAATCGGTATAGAAAGAAAGTACCTTAACATAATAAAGGCCATATATGACAAACCCTCAGCCAACATTAGACTTACTAGTGAAAAACTAAAAACCTTCTCTCTAAGGTCAGGAACAAAGCAAGGCTATCCACTATCACCACTCTTATTCAATATAACATTGGAGGTTCTACCAAGTGCAATCAGGCAAGAGAAAGATATTAAAGGCATCCAAATAGGAAACGAAGAAGTCAAACTGTCACTATTTGCAGATGACATGATTCTCTCTATAAAAAACCCTAAAGACTCCACAGGAACACTACTACAAACAATGAGTAAATGCAGTAAAGTTTCTGGATACAAAATCAACGTTCAAAAATCCATAGCGTTCCTGTACTCTAATAATGAAGTGTCAGAAAAATAAGTGGAAAAAATAATTCCTTTTGCAATTGCAACAAAAAGAACAAAATACCTAAGAATAAATCTAAGGAAACATGTGAAGGACCTATATATTGAAAACTATAAGACCTTATTAAAAAGAATCGAAGAAGATACAAAGAAATGGAAAGGTGTTCTGTGTTCCTGGATTGGAAGAATCAACATAGTTAAAATGACCATATTACCTAAAGCATTATACAAATTTAATGCAATCCCCATTAAACTCCCATTGGATTTTTTAAAGAAATAGAACAAAAAATCATCAGATTAGTATTAATTAGTATTAGTAGGAAGCACAAAAGACCCAGAATGACCAAAGCCATCCTGAGAAAAAAGAACGAGGCTGGAGGCATCACTCTGCTCGACTTCAAATTATACTACAAAGCAACAATAATCAAAACGGCATGGTATTGGCAGCAAAACAGACACATGGACCAGTGGAACAGAACAGAGAGTTCAGAAATAAACCCATGTTTTTATGGGCAAATAATTTTTGACAAAAAAGCCAAACATGTACAGTGGAGAAAGGAAAGCCTCTTCAATAAATGATGCTGAGAAAACTGGAAAGTCACTCGTAAAAGAATGAAACTAAAGTGGTATCTATCACCACACAGCAAAATTAACTCAAAACAGATTAAGGACCTGAATATAAGACTTGAAACAATAAAATGCATGGAAGGAAAAATAGGAACTAAACACAGGGACCACGGACTTACAGAGGATTTTGTGAATTTGACTTCAAAGGCAAGGGAAGTAAAAGCAAAAATAAATGAATGGCACTACATCAAACTAAAAAGCTTCTGTACAGAAAAAGTAACTGTCAACAAGGTAAGAGACAGCCATCTGCATGGGAAAATACCTTTGCAAGCAACACCTCTGATAAGGGCCTAATATCCAAAATATATAAAGAACTCATACAAATTAATAACAATAAAAAAATGAATGATCCAATTAAAAAATGGGCAGAGGACAGAAGATACTTCTCCCAAGAAGACATACAAATGGGCAACAAACATATGAATGTATGCTCAACATCACTAGCTATTAGGGAAATGCAAACCAAAACCACAATGAGATACTATCTCACACCTTTTAGAATAGCTATTATCAACAGGACAAGTAATAACAAATGTTGGAGAGGATGCAGAGAAAAAGGAACCCTCATTCACTGCTGGTGGGACTGCAAATTGGTACAGCCACTGTGGAAAACAGTATGGAGGTTCCTCAAAAAACTAGAAATTGATCTATCATACGATCTAGCAATCCATCTACTGGGTATTTATCCCAAGACTTGAAAACTCATACCTGAAAAGATATTTGCACACCAATGTTCATAGCAGCATTATTCACAGTGGCCAAGACATGGAAGCAACCTAAGTGTCCTAAGATAGATGATTGGCTAAAGAAGCTGTGGTACATATATACAATGGAATATTACTCAGCCATAAGAAGAGATGAAATACTGCCATTTGCGACAACATGGATGGACCTTGAAATAATCATACTAAGCAAAATAAGCCAGACAGAAAAAGTTGAAAATCACATGATATCCCTTATATGTGGTATATAAACCTAAAAGTGAGAAATGAACAGGACAAAGAAAGAGAGACTCATGGAAATGGACAATGGAGTAGTGGTTATCAGAGTGTAGGGGGTGAATGGAGTGGGGAGATAGATGGGGTAAAAGGGGTCTAGTATGTGGTGACAGTAAGAAGTCTAACTATGGATGGAGAACACAGAATGCAGCATATTTATATGCCTCACTGTTAAACTGCACACCTGAAACTTACTGGATTTTTTAACCAATGTCACCAATAAATAAATAAATAAATAAATAAATAGAGAGATAGATAGATAGATAGATAGATAAATAAATAAATAAATGGTTTTAAAAAAATAGAAAAAGAAAAAAGTTAAAAATCAAGTAATTTAAAAAAAATACACTAAATTTTTTTAAAAACAGATTCAAATGAAATAAATCAAACATATTTAAAGCCTGATCCAGTAAGAATGAATAAATGATTGTCCATGCAGATAATTTGTTGTGCCCATTATCCACTTAGGTCTCTAGTCATCCACTTATCTGTAAGAGCAACCTTCCCTGCAACTGTGTGATCACAGCCCTATAGGAGACAGGGGGACTTCCTAGAAGAAGTCTTATTTTAGTAAAGATCTGCAAGATGAGTCATTATCAGCTGACAGGGCAGTGTTAGTGTGTGTTGT